CGACTCTGTCATGCGGCTTTTTGCGACTCCAACTTGAGTTCAAAGTCGTAAAAACTCGTCTATTTAACAACACTAGCCGACTCTGAAGCCAAATCATCGAGTCGACTCATGCAGCTCATTGAGCCGCTCAATTTGAAATGAGTTTTGCGACTCCGACTTGAGTTCAGAGTCGTAAAAACTCGACTATTTAACAACACTAATGTAAAGATATGCATTATAAATCTAGTTTTCAAAACAATTAAAATTATAAAATGTCGACAATAGATTGATATTGAAATTAATTTTGGTAGAAATCATATTGACAAAGTCGAAAGTGATAATATGGAATTTCTTTTCTAAATTGACAAAATATTTTAATCTCAATAAAAAAATAACACAGGGTATAAATCTGGATGTAAGATGTGTCAGATTTTATTAACTAACAAGAATAGGCTTCAACTTGAGAAAAATATTACAAGGTAATATTTCAACAAATTTAATATAAAAGTGTAGCTTGTAGTAAAGGAGTAATTTATGTGTTAGTTAACTTCCTAATAGATTATTGACATCACTTATCCTTCGATGACTTCCTTGTATTACGATTGATAAATAAAATATGAATTGTGATTGAATTAATAAAGTGTAAATGACTAAATTATTAAAGTGTAAATGATGACTAAAATCACAAAATAGCTCAATGCTTAAGCTTTAAAATAAAATTTTAATAAAAACTGAAGTTTTTGAGATAGATCACATTATGTCAAAATTTATTTTCTAGCCCTATCCAAACTTGTCAGCGTCTATATGACAGGATTTTCACTGGATGCAAACCCTCTTCAAAAACCTTTGCCTACCCCCTAAAAAATTCCACCGCCTTCGGCGGCGGCGGTGTCTGTCTATTATTATTTTCACCCTTTTAATTTATTGATACTCTTTTCAGAGAATTTATCTAGGATAACTTAAATTAATCATCTCTACTACCAACTATCGATATTTTGTGAATATACAGAATTTATTTTTTAGAATATAAATTCAATTAAAACCTCCATTATTTACAATGAATTAATTATTATGGCATTATGAGCTTGCTGAAATATCTAAAAGAAAGTTTTATTTGGTAAACAATGTGTATGATTGTTTGCAATATATAGATTTGGTCGATGAATTGTATTATAATAATTCTATAATAAAAGTATTAATTTTTACAGCAATAAATTTTGTCCTATTTCATCTCAAAATTTAATAGATAACCCCCCAAAAAATTTATCCTACCCCCATTAAAGCAGCTTATCCCCCTCAAAAAAATAGGGTGCAAACTGTTCCTATCCCTCCCGCTCATGTAGACGCTGAAACTTGGTATGTTTCAACTGGCCATAAGATATTATTTTAAAATTATATTATAAATTAAAAATTACAATAAATAATTAATATCTCATTTTATTGTCTATTTAATGTATTTTATGAATTATTGTCTGGATGTTAAACAGCTGCTATTGTTCACCCTAGTTTTAAGTTGAATTATTGGCCATATATTAATTTGACTTCCAAATAGTGTTGTTAAAACGCCGGGAGTCGCGACCTCGACCCAAAGTTCAGGTCGTTTTTTTCGACCTCGACCCGAGTCCAAGCCGAAAAAACAACCTCGACCCAAAATATGGGTCGTTTTTTTCGACTCAGACTTTAAGTTTATTTTTTAAGGCAAATATGTAAAAATATATTTTTCAAACATGTTAAATTAAAATTTTAGCGAAGATGTACCATAGAAAAGTCAATTGTCATAATCGTCATTTTTGAACTTTTTTTAGACAAATGGGTAAAAATATATTTTGTAAACATGTTGAATTTAAATTTCAGTAAAGATGTACCATAGGAAAGTGACAATTGTCATAATCATCAATTTTGAACTTTTTTGAATTTTTTTAGACAAATGGGTAAAAATATATTTTGCAAACATGTTAAATTTAAATTTCAGTGAAGATGTACCATAGGAAAGTGACAATTGTCATAATCGTCATTTTTGAACTTTTTTTAAGACAAATGGGTAAAAATAATAAGATTTTTACTATTTCATAAAATAGAGCTTAAAAATAATTATGATTTTTATCACTTTTCTATGGCTTTTATTGAAATTTTAATTAACTAGTTTATAATTTATATTTCAACCATTTTCTTCAAAATATTCCAAATAAATTATCAACATGGCTATTTTATTTTTTTCAAGGTTTTTCATCACTGAAAAATTGATTTAACATGTTTACAAAATATTTTTTTACCCATTTGTCTAAAAAAAATTGAAAAAAGTTCAAAAATGACGATTATGACAATTGTCACTTTCCTATGGTACATCTTCACTGAAATTTAAAATGTTTATAAAATATATTTTTACCCATTTGTCTAAAAAAAATTCAAAAAAGTTCATAAATTACGATTATGACAATTGTCACTTTCCTATGGTACATCTTCACTGAAATTTTAATTGAACATGTTTACAAAATATATTTTTACCCATTTGTCTAAAAAAAATTCCAAAAGGTTCAAAAATGACGATTATGACAATTGTCACTTTCCTATGGTACATCTTCAATGAAATTTTAATTTAACATGTTTACAAAATATATTTTTACCCATTTGTCTAAAAAAAATTCCAAAAAGTTCAAAAATGACTATTATGACAATTGTCACTTTCCTATGGTACATCTTTACTGAAATTTAAATTATGTTTACAAAATATATTTTTACCCATTTGCCTTAAAAAAATTGAAAAAAGTTCAAAAATGACGATTATGACAATTGTCACCTTCCTATGGTACATCTTCACTGAAATTTAAAATGTTTACAAGATATATTTTTACCCATTTGTCTAAAAAAATTCAAAAATGACGATTATGACAATTGTCACTTTTAAGGTACATCTTCAATGAAATTTTAATTTAACATGTTTACAAAATATATGATATTGGCCTTAAAAAAATAAACTTCAAGTCTAAGTCGAAAATTACAACCAAGCTTCAAGTCTGAGTCGAAAAAAACAACCAAATTTCAAGTCTGAGTCGAAAAAAACGACCCAAACTTCAAGTCTGAGTCGAAAAATACGACCCATATTTTGGGTCGAGGTCGTTTTTTCGGCTTGAACTCGGGTCGAGGTCGAAAAAAAGACCCAAAATTAGGGTCAGCTCTGTTCGAGTCGACTCGGCTAAGCCGATTAACAACACTACTTCCAAAGGACAACTTAATAGACTAATGGCAACCATTAGATACTACTATACTAAGCCAAGATACCCTAGCCAGATCAATAAAGCCATCAGCAAGATAATTTTTTAGTAATGAATAATATAGTATGGAAAATCTTCTAGATGCAATTTTTAATCTAAAAATACTTAAAGTTTTTGCAGATTTATATTATATAAAAAGTATATTAAATTTAATACTGTATTATCCTCAATTGTTAGCTAGTGTTGAACGATTATTAGTACGGCAAAGCTACTATTAAAAACTCTTTAAAGCATTCTTCTGAAAATTATATCAATGTTTAGTGCTCATTAATTTAATCCGTTTGGTAGACAGTAGAAAGAAAAAAATGGCATCATGCTAGAATGGTAAATATAAGACTGAATATCTGGCACAATATTTAGACATTGACTAGTTGTTTAAATTCCTTAATCAAATATGAGAATCACAAAAAGAAATTGAGTTATAGACGACATCACGCTTTAAGAGTGAAGTTAGGCAAGATTTTGTATAAAATCTGAAACTTATATCAAAATTTTATTCGGTTTGGTAGATGGTTTAAAGGGGTAAAGAATTATTGATGAAAATAAAAAATTAGCATCATACCTAAAAAGATATAGAAGTTACAACTATCTGGTTGCGTTAATATTTAGTGCCTTATTTATTAATTCTTTAAACAATTTCACCAGCCACAAAAAAAATAAATGATTACAAGTCAAATACAAACTAAGATATCACACCTTAAGTGTGAAGTCATCCAAAGATATGGAAACATTATCTCTGATATTTGTCAATAATTAGTTGTGTGTTTCATACTTTTTAGTACTTCAACCCGTTTGGTATTAAAGAAAAAGATTGGCAAAATAAAAATAAAGCCAAGAATGATATCATGGAAGAAGGAAAATCATAGAAGCAATGAACAATAGGTAAAGCATGATTATTGCCTAATAATTCATCAATCAGTTTTTCTAATCAAAAATAAAAACTACGGCCTGCCTTGGGCCTCTTAAATATCGATTTTTGATTTTCAGTTTATTTAGTTTTGTAATTAATTATATTTTTTTAAAAAGAATTTCGGGAGTTATAGAGGGAGGTGGTTCAGTCCCCTATTCTCCTTATCTATGTTACAGAGTATCATGCAATGTTATATATCGATTTTAACAATTAAAGAAAAATAAACAATTTAAGAGATCTCGGTAAACTTAATATTAAAAATAATTTATTATTACTTTAAACACTTTAAAACGCAGTAACGTATGATTTCAAAATTTTAAAGATAAAAAAAAATAACGAACCCAGTTGTTAGTCAAGAGCTATAATCACAACATAAATCTCTATGCCTAACTAGACCGATTCCCGAATAAAAGGCATGCCATCTCTCTGAATAAATAATATTTCGCATTATAACCCTTTTAAAAAATATATTTTTAAAATTTTTCTCCGTGATACATCCTTTCTTATCTGTAATTTTCCCTAAATGAGAGATAGGTGTGAGGGATGTGAAACTAGAAGGATATTTACGAATTGCTTAATGTTTGGAAAATTAATAAATGTTTGGAATATTAATAAATCTTTTATCTGCACATGAAAAAAATCTACCAGAACCAGATAATTTCAAAATAACATTTTTATCTATTTGTTACACGTGATCATCAAAAAAATTGAATATTTATTTATAATTTTAAGAAATTTTTAAATCATACAAATTTATTTAAATGACAATTTCTTTTGAAGTAAACTCTAATGTAATTTGAAATTTCTATCCAAGAAATTTGCATTTTTTTATTGCAATGAGTAAAATATTATTATGCTTATATCGTTTGATATTTTTAATAAAAATTGACTAGTAAACGTAAGGTGTAAATATAGACAAATACATTAAGAAACATCCATTTCTAATGTTTTCCATGATGTTGAAACCATTTTTTTCAATTTGATTTCGACCTTGGTCATAAAAAATGTTACTGTGCTTTGGGATATATCAATTATCTAATGTTTTAAAAGTTTATTTGCAAATAAAATATAAAATAAAACTTCTTTGAGAGCAATGTTTTTATCAAATGTCTGTAACCCACTGTCTTCCTTAGGTCTATATTCTATGTGTATTTTAAGGAATACTCTATTAGCATCAATAACAGTATGATTAAAATCTGAATTTTTTGAGTAAATTGTGATATAAATATAGGAAGCTGTTTGATGCCAATCATATTTACATTCAGGGGATAAGTCAGCCTATAAAATATAGGATATATAATAAAATTATACATGAGTAAAATATAAATTTGATATATATTTGAAAATAATTATCAAATATTTGAGAATTATTATATGTATCGTTGGCTGAGGATTAGTGTTGTATATCCAAATTTCACCTTTACAGGAGAGCATTTTAAAAAAATTTATATGGTTTTTCAACAAATGAAGACGTTGAATTTATTTTTTAATATGATAATGCTTTCGAATGATATAAGCAACTTATCATAGCTTGCCCATTCTCAGGAAATTATTTTTATACAATTTATCATAGGTTACCCTAATATAGTATTCTCAGAAAAATTATTTTTATACCTTTGAAAAAATAAATATGGAACAAAAAACTAATATTATCTTTAATAAATAAAGTGAAAATGTTCCATATTTAAAAATTGCATTAAAAAAGTAGTTTTAATCATTTTCGTTATTTAAAATTAACAAAATATAATAATTTTTAAAATAGACGCATTTGAGAAATCACATGACTAGATATTTGTAATTCGATTGGTAAAGGATATGGATCATTATAATAAATTAATATTTTGCAAGATAACAGATAGAATAATATAATAATGTTAATAAAAAAAATCTAGTTTCGTAATTTTATTGTTGATATACAGAAGGAGATAGTTGTGAAAAACTGATATATTGAAAATCAATTTTTATAAAAAAGTGAACATAGACCAATATAATACTCAGACTACGATATGTATCTACATAATAAAATTCCTGCTATATATTTTTATGCTTTATCACTAGCAATAAAACTTTTTACAAAATTTAAACAATATAACTGAAACGTTCAAAATTTTTTTAACTTAATTTCTTATAAATACTCAGGCAGTGTCCTAGGTCGACTTTAGCGGGCTATTTAACAATAATGCCACTTATTTAATTTTCTAAATAAAGATTGTACATATCAATATAGAATACGAGGTAAATATTTTATTTATTTATTTAAATTATATTAGATGGGCAAACATGCAAATATACCGTTGAGTAATAGCCAGTCTTTTGCATATTGTATGTCTTTAAATTCGTATCAGGTCAATTCAGCGAAACTTTTATCGCGAATGTCGTTTATCGCGAAAAGTTTTTATATTCTGCGAATTTATCTCCGCGAAACATTTATAACGAAAACAATTTCGCGAAGACATTGTCGCGAATTTATTTCCGCGAAATTAGAACCGCCAATTTATTAGAGCGAATACATTTTAGCGAAACATTTTACAGCGAATTTATATCGCGAATATGTTTACGTGAAGTCATTATCGCGAGCGCATTACCGCGAAACAATAAATATATTGCGAATGCATTTATTTAAAAGAAAACAACATTTTATTTATTATTTGATGTTTTTTAATAAAAAATGATATGCTACTATTGTAATATAATTTTTGTTACATTTTAAGTAAAAAATATTTCTTGAAGTTCAAAAAGATTTTTAAACATATTATGATAAAAATTTTAAATCTTCTTTGTAAATATATCTCTTTTGAGGAATTCTGTAAAATTTATTATAAATATACAATATTTAGGTGAAATCTTTTATAGTATTTTAATCATTTTTATAAAATTATCTATTTCTTAAGTATATTAAAAAGAGGTGGGTTTTCTAAATAATTTTTTAAAAATATTTATTTTTAACTTACTTATGTTATTTTATTTCATATGATCTTTTTAAGGATAATATTTTAATGTGACAATTGTCATATTCGTTATTTATTAAGATTTTTGAAATTTTTTGATTCAAAAGGGAAAAAAAGATGTTAAATTATAAATTCAATGAAGATGTTACTTGGAAAAATGGCAATTATTATAATCGGTATTTTTAAACATATTAGATTTTTTTAATGGTAATGGGCAAAAATATGTATTTTTAACATGTTAAATTATAATTTCTATTAGGATGTACCATATAAAAGCGACAATAGTCATAATCATTATTTTTAAAGTTTTTTTTACAGCTGCATAAATGGTGCAATTATATTTAAAAAATAAAATTGAATCCTTATATTTTTATAGAATTTTATGCTATAAAATTTCTTAAATGAACTCGAAACAATCCTTATCGTTTATTTGAGATCTTTTAGGTATATTAGGATAGGTTGCTAGAGCATAGATATTAAGCAGTAATGATTTCTGAAAATTATTTTTTCTTATTCTAACAGTTATAAAAAAAAATGCGTCACTGAGACTAAAATTAGACAAATTGATATAAAGTTATTATAAACAAAAATATATTAAATTATAGATAAAGCAGACGATCAAATTACACATCGTAAGTAGACGAAACATTAATAAATTGAACAAAAAAAAGACAATTTTTTATTTAACAATGCTTGATTTGTATCTTTTAACCCTGTGAGCTAGGCTGATCTGCTGGTATGGCCATTAAGTTGATGTTATGTATAAATCAATTAACAATAAAAAAAAACCAAAAAATCGGATTAAAATTTCAAATGTTAGTTTATAATAAGAAAAAATTTCAGTAAAAAAATAATTAGGATGAAAAAGTTACAATTCATGTCGGTCACGTTTTTGTGACTCTTTCCCAACCAATAGCGCATCTAAATGACGATATAATATTTATTTGTACCGAAAAAAGGCATTAATTAAGAGATGCGCAATTTTTAAATTGGGTTCATATTAATATAATGAATGAAATATATTTAATAAGTAACCTGAAAAGTACTGAGTTAATTTGGTTGTTATATTTTTAAAAAAGGCAACTAATTAGAGTCTATGAGCATTTTATCAAATTCGGAAGTAACTTTTACATAATTATAAGTTTACTAATCTAAGTAGCATTACGCTGCATTTATAGTAAACGCGTTATCTTAAAGCGTTGATATCACTATCGATATCATAGTTCTTTCTTCATAACGCTAATAACAAGGAGAAACTGAGCATTATTTTAAATATAATATTTAATAAAAAATACCTCTTTTTCGAAATCGCTATTATTTTTATAATCGTTCAACGCATCGAAACATATGTTTTTTAAATTTTATCATAGAGTTATCATCATAAAACTCCATATTTAAAAATTATACCTATTTATTGGTTTGATTTTGTAATAACGCTGCGTTAAATAATGCAACGCTTGAACATAACGCGTTTGCTATAAATGCTGCCTTAACAACACTAATTAAATTTTGGAAAAATAAACAGCTCCCGTATTATTTCAATATTTTGTATCAAATTCATTTTAAAAAAAATATAAAAAAATTTCACCTAAATGGTCATTTTTAAAAATCGATTCAAATCGGGCTTTTTAACAGCACTAATTTCAGTAGTCCAGTAGGGTTGGCAAAATTTGTAATTTTTTTGATTTAAATCGCGATTTAAACCAAATACTAATATTGATTGAAAAATTTTATACATTCTAATTTTTTTTTAACATTAGTATTATATTATATTTTTTTGTAAGTAAAAAGTTAATGCCTCAGGAGATCCGGTCTGATATTTTGTCAAATGAAAATTCGACATATTCGATGATAGGTGAAAACTGTTTAAAAAAATTTAGCTAGTCGATAATAATGAGAAGAAAATCTTTCATTTTCTAAAACGAATACTCTTATGAACATCCTCAAATAAAACTTTTAAATCAAATTTAAAATTTCCTTTTTTGATTAATAAAAGAATAGTGGTTCTATATTAATTTTAGCTACTCTTATTTCCGAAATAGGTGTCCTGAGATGCATTAGTAAAAAGATGTTCGCTAATACCCTTAATTTAATTTAATATAATATTGATTATTTTTGTGGTAATTGTTTTGTATGTCCCAAAAATTTTAAAACTATCCCTCTCCTTCCTTTTTCTGATAGAGACTAGTTCTTCAATTATATTTATGATAAATATGGTTACTCTTTTCTGATAATAAATGTATTGTTTATAACAAAATACTACATAAATCAAATAAGCATTCATATCATTTTTAAAATAATTGGTTATTTAAAAAAGGACTAATTATGTCTAATTTGATTAGTTTATTATTTAATTATTGTTATATGGTTGTTTAGTGTTGTTAAAAAGTCGAGTTCATCCGATTCTGACTCAGAGTCTCGAGTCGTTAGTCGAATATGTCGACTAACTCAAACTCAAGTCGTGAACTCGAGTTATGAACTCAAGTCGACTTAAGTCGTAAACTCAAGTTCATAAAATATTCGTCCTCAGAGGACGAATATTATTTATTATTAATTAAGATTTTTTTTACTCAAGACTTTCATGAGTCGTGAATACAAATTATATAATTGAGTCGACTAGTGGACGAATAGTTCTATGAACTTGAGTCGTCAATTTGAGTCGACTAGAGTGCTAATATTTCAAATTAGTTATTATTATCTAAGATATTTGTTCTGTCATTTACATTTTTTTACTTTAGACATCCAATTTGAGTCGTGAATACAAATTATATTGTTGAGGACGAATAGTTCAATGAACTTGAGTCGTCAATTTGAGTCGACTAGAGTGCTAATATTTCATATTAGTTATTTATTATTATTTAAGATATTTGTTCTGTTATTTACATTTTTTTACTTTAGACATTTAATTTGAGTCGTGAATACAAATTATATTGTTGAGTCGATTAGAGGACGGAGATTTTAAATTAGTTATTATTAATTTATAAAACATTTTTCTTTAACTTTAGACTTCCAACTTGAGTCGTTATACGAGTTATATACTTAAGTCAACTAGAAAACGAATAGTTGTGTCGTTTTTTCGACTCAGACTCAAACGGGTCATTTTTTACGACTTCAACCCAAAGTTGTCATCGTTTTATTGGATCCGATCCAAAATATGGGTCGTTTTTTAAAGGAAGATCTAAGGTTTAGGTTTCTTTTTTTCACCTCACCCATTATCCTGATTATTTTTTTCGACCAAGACTTCTAGGGTTGACTCCAATATATATATTAATAACATTTAATAGATATTAAAATCATGGGAGGGTAAATTATATATTAGCTTCTTTTAAT